ACTTAATCACTTTGTTTTGCGTCTTTTAGTGTTTCCGACGTTTCAAATCGTTCATCTCAAGGTGAAGGTATCGATCGTAAATTAATACCAAATACTATGTCAAAGTCTATGGCGGAAGCTATTCATAAGAGTCTCAGCTCCTCATTCAATTCAATCAAATACTTCTATTACCCCTATTCTGTCACTCATAAAAACCTTGGCCAAGCCTTGACCAAACCTTGGCCAAAACAAGGCCGAATTCATTTTTGTTTAATAAATATTTATTTTTTCGATAAAATGTATATAATACTGTATCTATATTGGCCATATACTCGATTTTTTTACCGACCTGTTGATTATTCGCTATGAGAAATATCGATCATATCGCAAATATGAAGCGAAATCAAATCTATACACTTAGAATAATGATGGTGCAATGCATAATAACATGGAAAAAGTCTAACAGACTGTTCGTTCATTCGAATAAATAAATCATTTATGGTCTGACTTAGACAACGAACCCAACCTTTGTATATTATGGTGAAGACTGAATTATGAGAACTATGCTTACAATTTACAGCTTACGACCTCCAGTGCTAACATTAAAAAAAAAACATATGTGCAATAATTCACACGTGGTAAAAGTGAAGCTCATAGGGTGGAGGGCGTTGTACCAGTTGCTAATCATCATTCTCCTCCCCTTCTCCCAGTCAACTGGGGTCGGCGCAACATGTTTTCTCCTTCCATATTCTTCTATCATATACCGTTTCTTCGCTCACTCCCTCTTACCCATATCGTCTTTTAAGCAATCCATCCATTTCTTCTTAGGTCTACCTCTTCCTCTATATCCTTCCACATTCATTGTTAACATTCTCTTACCAACCTCATTTTCATTTCGTCTCATCACATGTCCAAAACATCCCAAATGCGCACTTCTCAACTTCTCTGTCACAGGTGCCACTTTCAGACTTCCTCTACCCGTTGTGAATACCACTACAATATAGTTACGCCAATATACTAACTATAACAATTTAACATGATTTAATATAGAAATGCATTACAAACCGTTTCACTTCTTTGAACTTAATTTATTTAACTTTTTTTAAAACAGCTTATGCTAATTAAATTAAAACAAGAATAGTGCCATATGTTGCAGTGGCACGTAGTCTCTGAGTTTCTATTTTATTACTAGCTGACCCAGCAGACTTCATAGTGCCTCAATCGATAAATAAAAGACCTAAACTTTTGTATAAAATAAACATAAAACAAACAAAAGGAATCTGTCCGACAGGGGACACATCAAAGGATAAACAAAATTGTTATTTTTATTTAATTCCGAGCATTTTCATATTATTTATCTACCTTTTAAACCTTCTCTGGACCTCCACAAATAATTCAAGACCAAAATTGTTCAAATCGGTCAAGCCGTTGTCGAGTTTTAGCGAGACTAACGAACAGCAATTCATTGGAAGATGGAAGATTATCTCAGTGAAACAGTTCACTAAACATCGAAGATGGACTAAATTCGTTCCTTAAAATGTTACTACGAGTATATTAGGACAATTAGGTTAATATTTAAAATTAAAAGGAAATCTTCTTTTAATATTAATTGATTTTGATTCGTAGCGAATGATTGCTTCCTTGTAAAAATAACATACGAAAGAGAGAGAAAACGATCATTAAAAATACGAAGACGTAAATTGAAAGCTAAGAAAGAATCTGGGAAAACCATGTAAGTTTATTTCGTCCGGCATTGAAACTCAATAAAACTCATTAAGGTATATATATTCTATGACTATTCCTACGACTTTCAGCTTTTATCGTTTATTAGATTTTCCTCGCAAAGAGAAAAACATTTTTTTTTATTTATCTCGCACAATACGGGGTGTGCTTCTATTACAGAAATAAATAAGTTAGTTAAGGAAGAATGAAATGCGTTGCCCCTTCGTGATAAATTAATATAACAAAATTATAATTATTGATTCCAAATAAAATATAGATAATGCAACTATACTGAGAGTTGAGACCTTAGAACTTATATCTCAAGGTGGGCTCCAGTAACCACTTAACACCAGGTGGGCTGTGAGCTCGTCAACCACATCTAAGCAATAAAAAATAAAAAAGTGGTATAGGCCGCAATCTGGGTCTGCACTGATAGATCCTATCAATTTTGTTTTGGCTTAAAGATCTCACGGCCCTCCTGGTGTTAAGTGGATACCTGAGCCCATAGACATAAACAACGTATTATAAATACAGCCACTGTCCTTGAGACATGAGTTTTAAGGCTTAATGCTTACAGTACAACGGCTGCCTCACCACCCTTCACCATATTTAGTTGAACGGGGTCTAACCCCATATGAACCAAGCGTAGATACCATCATCTTTTTATTTCTGTAATGAAACAGACTGAGATGATCCATAATTACCATCAGACACCAGGAGAAGGCTTTTCTATTTACATTAAATAAAATATGGCAACTAGTATTTTTTGTACAGTAATTAGAAATTCTAATCGGTTATTGTTACCAAATAAAACTAAGCTATAATTAAAAATATATGTGTAATACCCACTAAAGCTCGAGATTTTATATTACATTTGTTCTTCCAAAATATAATTCCAAAATTTTACTTAAATACTAAATTAAATACTTACTAATTAAATACTAATTTAAAAATTAAAAAAAAACTGTAGGTTACTTGGCTCTGCCCCTGACATTGCCGACGTCCATGGGCGACGGAAACCACTCACGATCAGGTGGGCCGTATGCTCGTCTGCCTATAAGGGCAATGAAATATTTTTTTATTAATATGTAGTATTTTGAATACTATTAATATTTAGAATAATAAGTATTCTGTAGGCATCTACTTGACTGTGCTTCAGGAATTGCTGTCGATCATGAACGACAGTAACCGCTCACCATCAGATGGGCCGTAAGATTATCTGCCTACAAAGGCCATAAAGAAGTGTAATTAAATCGTAAAAATTATTGTTAATTATGTCTATGACTCGTGAATACCGAATGGAATATGTACTGGAATACCAAAGAAAATACCATACGATGAGTGTCTTTGAAGTTATGAGACAACAAACAAACACACTAACACTAATATCTATATATTAATACGTGAAGCAAATACTTTGTATCCCTTTTTACGTAAGTTGCGCGGACAGAGGAGTATGAAATTTTCCACACTTATAGAGAATATAGAGAAGCAGTGCACTATGCTAATATTTTTTTTAAATAATGCATAAAAGATACATTACATTAATAAAGAAAACATTACACACACTACATACCATGTATTTGACGCACACACGCATGCATACTATTTATTGTCAAACTTTTGTTCTTGACGTCTGTTGTCAAATTGAGAATAGATTAAATATTGTTTGTCTTCATTAATTTTTTTTTTTATTGTGTAGCCTTGGCGAAATTTGTGATTATAGAAGTATAAAATACAATCATAATAGTGTACAAACTTACAATACCTATTAATTATAGTCGAATTTCGACTACTGCGGGACCACTAGTTATTATAACTATGTATATGGTATTCTACAAATTATACTCTGCGATTAAATCGACACTGGATGCTGAACCACGTATATTGTTTTTATGAATTGTATCTTCGCTTTTTGTATGGATAATCAATATTTAGTGCTAATAATGATTCGGGAATAAAAACTTTATATGATCTTGCGATCTTGGAGAAGTAGTTTTAAAATCAGTTTTAATGGGTTTTTTTATAGCTTAAGTCCAGTGTTCGTTGACATATTAATATTGGAACCGTGATGCTAAAACATATGGGGATACTGCTACCAAAGACTGATGGTGAAGACGAATTTAAAATGGCTTAAGGAGACCTGGGTAACGTCTGATATTTACCCGGATATTGGTCTATCGATGATATTAGATAATAATAGTCATCGTGGCCTAAAGGATAAGACGTCTGGTGCATTCGTATCTAGCGATGCAACGGTGTTCGAATCTCACAGGCAAGTACCAATTTTTCTAATGAAATACGTACTTAACAAATATTCACGATTAACTTCCACGGTGAAGAATCCATCGTGTTATAAAAATCAAACCCGCAAAATTATAATCTGCGTAATTACTGGTGGTAGGACGTATTGTGAGTCCGCGGAGGTATGTACCACCACCGCTCTGCCTATTTCTGCCGTGAAGCAGTAATGCGTTTCGGTTTGAAGGGTGGGGCAGGCGTTTTACTGTTAAACTCATGTGTCAAGGTAAGTGGCATTTACTTTGTAGATGTCTATGGGCTCCGGTAACCACTGAATACCATGTGGGCCGTGATCTCATCCACCCACCTGAAACTAACGCCCAATAAAAAAATTCAGATTTCCCCTGTATCGTAATCGTCTTAAAAATATAAATGGTCATTAAAATTATTAAACCAAACCATAGAAGCATTATTAAAGAGTTTTTTTAAAATAATAACTTTAAAGCTTTGATGTTGCTTTTCCTTGAAAAAAATTGTTTTGCAATTTCTTACGTTTTATGTATTCAATAAAATACAGTTTTCGTGGTAAATAAAGACGAATCTTATCGTAGGTACGTAGCCTTAGTTTTTAGTTAACTATCTAAAACATTAGTAAATAATTAAATAACCGGACATCGGTCCTGTAAATTATTATAATAAATTTATTCTCCATACAATCAAGGAGAAACATTTATTTAAAATGTTAATAATAATTAATAATTGGTACGTAAAAACATTGTCAAATTTTAAGATAATTATATTAAACTATAATACAATTACACCTAAATATGGTTCAATGTTATCAACAGTTATTCTATTGTATTCCTGAGCCAGTTTATTCACTAAACAAAATATAGTAATGGATGTTTTTTTTTTAATTCATCACATATAAAAATAAATGTTAATGCTTCGAAAAATATTATATCGCATGACTAAAAACATTATGCAAGAAACACATTCAAAAAATTCACTGACAAATCCAAAAAAAAAACTCAAAATGCTGATAACAAAAATCTTACCTTTCAGATAATCATTCCCATAGTCTTCGTTTTATCACAACACACATTTAAAAAAAAAAACAACTAATTGTCGTCAACGAACTCACTTCAGCTTCGAAAACAGGCGGCACGTTCTACCCCCGCCGCGGTTAACGTAAGACTGAAGAATTAGGGGTGCAACATTAGTTTTTGATGTTTCCGTAATAATAGGGATGAAACATTCCTCGTGACCCAAAAATCTCATGCGTGTCTCTCAATCAATCAATCGTTCTTTAGTGCATATTAATTAAAACTAGTGGTCCCGCAGTAGTCGAAATTCGACTATTATTAATTGATATTATAAGTTTGAATGATATTATATGAATATTGAATGATATTATAAGTTTGAATGATATTATATGAATATTGAATGATATTATAAGTTTGAATGATATTATATGAATATTGAATGATATTATAAGTTTAAATGATATCATAAGTTTGACTTTTTGTTAATAAACGCACAACTAAATTTAAAAAGTTTGAACAATATTATGATTCTATTGTCAAATTATATAATCACAGATTTCGCCAAGACTACACTTTAGGCAAATATTATTAAAGACAGACAATATTTAATCTATTCTCAATTTGACCACAGACTTTAAGCAATAAGAAAAGTTTGACAATAAATAAACAGTATGCATGCGTGTGTGTGTCAAATACATGGTAGTGTGTGTAATGTTTTTTTATGGATTTATTGAATTTTTTATGCATGATTTAAAAAAAAATGCACTTCTTCTCTATATTCTCTATAAGTGTGGGAAAGTTCATACTCCTCCGTCCGCGCAATTTTAGTAAAAAGGGGTACAAAGTTTTTGCTTCACGTACTAATATATAGATTATAATTATAGATGTTAGTTGTAAAAGAGATTGTGGATAACTCTGTGGCAATAATAAAATATTCATAATAAGGACAGAGTTTGGCGACAACTTGCTTAATAAATTTTCAAATTTGACAGTCCAAACTGATCGATCGAAAATCGTCTGGTTGGCAGTATTACGTCACAGTAGCTGGGTTTGATTCCTGTGTGCTTAGCGCGAGTTTTTGAACGTTCTCGATAGCGTAAAAGTTAACTCATATTTATATGGAATGGGATCGTTTGCGTACGTTTGCCGCTAGGGGCGCTGTTCCAATTGCATACAAAATTGGGTTAACTTTTACGCTATCGAGAACGTTAAAAAACTCTCACTAAGCACACTAGTCGGTTTATTCCTTTTGCGGTTGATTTTTTTATTGATCTTTTGGGCAGTCGAGCGCACGGCCCACCTGATGGTGAGTGGTTACCGTCGCCCATGGACTTCAGTAATGCCAGGGGCAGAGCCAAACCGCTTTCAAGCCGCTCCTTGTTCGGTGAACAGGACACAGCTTTTCAGTTGGGCCTTGCGCGTGTCATAAAAACATTAAAAAAAACTCCTAAAAATATGTGATGCTAATGGTCGATTCCGGAGCAGTTGCCGGCCACGCGCGAGCTTTTAAAATAAAAAAGTTAACTTGTACATTACTGTGGAGTTTTAAAAGTTCTCTTGGCGCGTTTTGGATACGATCAAGATTTTTGGAACGTAATTAAAAAGTTTGATTATGATACACCCGATTGGAATCAAGTTTGATACTTCGCTCACTTTGTTTACACACCTTTAGACCTATCACCTCCCGCTGATTTTCTTGCCGTATCTTCTCAGCGGGCCGCGATTCCAATCCGGTAGTAAATTCATTCGTGAAGCAGCTGTCCTTGAGTTGTTAGGTCTCCTCCAAGGACGCTCGGGCAGCCGTTAGCAAATCTCATTCCTCCTGATTGAGCTCGTGCTCGCCCACCTGACCTGGTGAAATTGGAAAGGCCTCCAGACCACCAGTAATCATTCCTTCACAAAAAAAAAGCCTATCGCCTTAATCTCTTTATTCTGCTAGATGGCTAAATAAGTTAAATATATTTATCACGATTTTGTTAGCTTGAACTGTATGTATACGCTATCTAAGTAATGGGATCTTTCAATTTAATTTGAACAACCCTCAAAGCTTTTGATTACCTTGAAAATTTCTTCACGGATCAAAGACTGACAATATCAAAATTATATTACTTTTTTTAACATGTTTACTAGATTATAATTTAACTCATTAGCGTGTGATTTTTTATTTTTTACTAGCTGACCCGGCAGACTTCGTAGTGCCTCAATCGATAAATAAAAGACACATCAAAGGAAAAACAAAATTTATATAAATTAAATTTTATATAATTCCGAGCTTTTTATATTTTCGCACCTTTTAAGCCTTCCCTAGACTTCCACGAATAATTCAAGACCAGAATTAGCCAAATCGGTCCAGCCGTTCTCGAGTTTTAGCGAGACTAACGAACAGCAATTCATTTTTATATATAGAGATTGACCTCTTTATTAATTGATAAACGAAGCGCTCGCCGGAACCTGTCGAAATCATCACGACATTAATCCAGTCATCCATTTATGCCATAGATACAAAGTCGAAGTGTAAAATTGTGCTGCACCCTGTATGCTTCGCAGAAGAAACGTGCGTGTGTGGCCTCTTAATACACCCCCGAAGCAGCTGCTCTTGGGTTTTAGGTCACCTTCGGAGGCACTCGGGAAGCTGTTAGCAAATCCCACCCCTCCTGGCTGAGCCTTTGCTCGCCCACCTGTCCTGGTGAAACTGGAAAGGCCTCAAGACCACCAGGAATCCTTCAATCGTAAAAAAAACAAACACACCCCCTATCACTTGCATTGCGGTTGAGATGGTAAACAATCTTCGTCTCGAGACGAATTGTGGCATTCACGTTCTAATATCTACAGGCTCTGGTAGCCAATTAATGCTAGGTAGACCCTGAGGTAATTCAACTGCGCGAAAAACGGCACAAACCGAATCCAATCCGGTCAATTTTCAAACAAGCTGTGTTTTGGGGCCAAACAGTGTATTTACAACACCGTCATCGCTCTGAAGTTATATGCCAATTGTGTGGTTGAATACTTGACAATTTTTGTATACAGGTGATATGCTGGAGAGATATAAATACTTATAGTGATATTGTTACAGTTAAAAGTTTAAAAATTAGTAAAATAAGCAGTAACTTAATCTATTAAGGATCAAATATCATGCCAAACAGAAATTACACCCGATCTAAAGCAACGCAGTATCTAGGCAAAGAGCTCATTAACTAATTCCTCGGCCAATCCTGATGAATAAGGGTCAGTTAGGTACATTAGCAGCTTTTAGTGGCTAGTCATTTATATGAGTGTTTACCTCTCAGTCTTGGAAACAATGTTAATGATATGGCCAATTCACTTAAGGTGCCACAAGTGACTCTGTATGGAGATTTTAGCGGTGTTTGTGGGAGATTTCGTTTTTCTTCCTTTCTTGAATTTAGCATTCAGTCCTTCTGGTATTTAGCTACTGAAACTATTAAATTTGAAATATGAGTATTGTTTAATACATTATGAGGCAAAATCGATTCTATGGCTCAATTGGTTTAAGTGTGGCATATACAGAGATCGAAATCTATTGTATCAGCGCCTAAGACTCTTTCCTGCAGCTAAACGATCACAATAAATAAGTCTTTAACAATGTTTTAAAACTAAGGCCCACGCTGGATAACTGCGCTCAATATATTTTCATTATCAGATGTGAGACGGAAATAACTAGGAACAATTCTCCAACAGTAACTTGTCTCGAAACTCTTTTGGTGAAGGACACATCCTGACCTGTATAAGTGAGCACTAAGCTGACTACACTTCTTTTTCTTGTTCTCATTATGCCACTATATTTGGGTCAGTGCATAATGTCCTCTTTTCCTCATTCCCATTCTCTAATTCTTCAATATCCTCTTTCACACGGTTCGTCTTATTCGCTTCTTTTGAGATAAGCTGAGAACACTAATCTATATATTAATACGTGAAGGAAAAACTTTGTATCCCTTTTTACGATAATTGCGCGGACGGAGGAGTATGAAATTTCCCACATTTATAGAGAATATAGAGAAGGAGTATAAAATTATGCCTAAAAAATACATCAAATCAATAAAAAAAACATTACACACACTACCATGTATTTGACGCACACACGCATGCATACTATTTATTTATTGTCAAACTTTTGTTCTTGACGTCTGTGGTCAAATTGAGAATAGATTAAATGTCTTTATTAATATTTTTCTATGGTGTAGTCTTTGAAGTACCTCGGCCTCATTCTGGACAGTCGTTGGACCTTCCGTGCTCACTTACAAATCCTGGTCCCTCGTTTGTTGGGGGTGGCCGGCGCGTTAAGCCGGCTTCTGCCCAACGTCGGGGGGCCTGACCAGGTGACGCGCCGTCTTTATACAGGGGTGGTGCAGTCAATGGCACTATACGGGGCGCCCGTGTGGTAGCAAAGTTGCTGCAACGGCCGCAACGCACCATCGCGGTCAGGGTCATCCGTCTCTTTCGAGGCGGCGTGTGTGCTGGCTGGGACGCCACCTTGGGTCCTGGAGGCGGAGGGGCTCGCTGCTGACTATCAGTGGCGGGCTGACCTTCGTGCCCGGGGCGTGGCGCGCCCCAGCCCCAGTGTGGTCAGAGCGCGGAGGGCCCAATCTCGGCGGTCCGTGCTGGAATCATGGTCCAGGCGGCTGGCCGATCCTTCGGCTGGTCGTAGGACCGTCGAGGCGATTCGCCCAGTCCTTGTGGACTGGGTGAATCGTGACAGAGGACGCCTCACTTTCCGGCTCACGCAGGTGCTCACTGGGCACGGTTGCTTCGGTGAGTTCCTGCACCGGATCGGAGCCGAGCCGACGGCAGAGTGCCACCATTGTAGTTGCGACTTGGACACGGCAGAGCACACGCTCGTTGCCTGCCCCGCATGGGAGGGGTGGCGCCGTGTCCTTGTTGCAAAAATAGGAAACGACTTGTCGTTGCCGAGTGTTGTGGCATCGATGCTCGGCGACGACGAGTCGTAGAAGGCGATGGTCGACTTCTGCGAGTGCACCATCTCGCAGAAGGAGGCGGCGGGGCGCGTGAGAGACGCGCAAGCCCGCCGCCGCCGAGCGGGGGCCAGGGAGGCGGATATCGCCCAAGCCCTGGCCCTCTAAGTATTTCGGGTCCCCTTTACATGTCGGTCT